TGTGTGTGGAGGGGGATGGCTATTGAGTAAGAGGTTGAGAGAGGAGAAACTCTACTTAGCAAGAAGAAACACAGAAGCCATGCCTGGTGGTGTAGGCCTGTTAGTCCAGCTACTCAAGAGACTAGGGTATGAGGATCACAAGTTCAAGGCCAGTCTGGGTCACTTAGTGAAACCCTGTCTCAAAAACAAGAAAGTTAAAAAAAAAATGGCTGGGGATTTAGTGTAGTGGTAGAGCTCTTGTTTAACATGCATGAGACCCTAGGTTCAATTCTGAGTATCAGAGGGGTGGAGGGCACTTGGTACTTACTTTGTGGCTCTGTTCATATAACATTGTCAAAATAATGAAAGTCTAGGTATAGCTATTAGATGAGTGATTGCCAGGGTTGGGGATAAAGTGCCTGGGGGTGGGGCGCATGGGGCTGACTAGAAAGGGCAGCACAAGGCAGCTCTTTGCAGAGGTGGAATGGTGACTGGTGGTGTTCCATGAATGGCATGTGATGTCACAGAACTAGGTACCCACCACACCAATGCCAGTTTCCTGATTTTGATGTACTAGACTTTATAACTTTCACCACTGGAAGAAGCTGGTGGAAGGGAACACAGGATGTCCCTGCACTACTGCAACTTCTTACAAATTTATAAACAAAAGGGAAAGCAAACCAATAAAATGAAAAGAAGGTGATCATGGTGTGGCTGTGATCTCCTGAGAGGCAATCTTCAGAATTAAACATCCAGGATCTTGTTTTGAGGTTTGTGTTTAGTTTCCTGCTGGGAGCCTGTCTGATGAAGGCCTCATCCTACTGAGGTCCCCTTTCTGGATGTATTCTAGAATGTTCTATCACACTAAATGGTGTTATTAGAAGGTTTTGAAATACATGAATGTAGTAAGGGGAGAGATATGTCTTAGCTCACAGAACACCAGTGCAGAGGACACTCATTTCAGAGCTGAAGAAACAGGCCCAGGATGAAGAAGAGGCTTGACCAAGGTTACCAGGGTGGCCCATGGCAGAAGCAGACCAGGGGTGAATCCCTCTATCATTCCTACCAGTCTCCTCTCTCTTCAGCTCCTCACCCTGGAGCCTTAAAATATTAAAATTTAGAACTCATTGGAAGGTTAACTCTGAAAAGCAACAGCCATTAGAAACATATCAACATCAGGGCATCTCTTTTAATTGCCTATTCACACAGACAGATTGTCTTTTCACATTCAGAGCTAAACTCGGAGATGTGTCCTTTCGCAGGGTACTCGTTATCTGACTGCCTCATCAGGAATGGGAACTAAAGTGCAGTTTGATTGCTGAGTACAAGTTCTATTTTTTTTTCCTCCTAAGCAGGAAGTTCAAAATCTACTGGGTTATTTTTAAAGAGGGTGAAAAAATAGGATCATTATCAGCTTCCGCAGCGGCCCTGTCCGAAGACACGTGCTGCTGGATGCAAGGCATCGGCCGATCTGGAAGGAACGGAGGCGATGAAGAGAGGTTTCAGGGAGATTTATTAGTGGAGGGGGAGGGGCCCAGTGGCCATGTGCTCCAGGGGTAGCAAAGAATGTATAAGGTCGGGGCTAACTCTGTGGGGTCCACAGTCCCAGGTTTTTCTGGAGTCCATCTCTATCAGGGCTTATTTGAGGAGTTGTGACTATCTTTGAACATTGTCCACAGGGCCATGATCTCCAATCCTGGTCGTAGAGTTGGTGCTAGTGGATCAGACCCTGCTGGTCATTTGTGGAGCCTGGGAATTTAAGCAAACACTATAGGAGTCTACGTCTTGAATCACAAATGTAAGCCTCACCCTCCTGAGTAGACAGGAATTTGGAAGTGTGAATCCCTGCAGCACTGATTTTTAGGAAATATCATATTACAGGAAAATCATATTATAAAAAAGAAAACCTTGCTTATGTTGATCTAACCATTTATTGATGACTATGTGAGGCTCTGTGCTGGGAACAAGAGTTGTAATGAGTTACTCAGTTTTGAGGGCGCTTCCCCACATCCTTTGAAATGTGTAGCAAAACCCTGGAAAACAGCAAACCATCATGAGAATTTCTGTTATAGAATATTCTAGAAACAAAGGGAAAAGTCATTGACTTTCTTTTTCTTGTATGAATTGTTTCTCTTTCCCTCTGCTTAGTCTTAGTAGTTTTGATATGTCTTCCGTCATTTGCAGTGGGGAACCCGTAGAAAACCCTTTTTGTCTTCCTAACAACCCAGCCAGCTGATTATAAACACAAACTCTTCTTTTTTCTTTTTGTTTCTTTTTAAAATGCTTTTTATTATTTTCATTTTCTGCATATGTGTGTATTGCCTGCACATAGGTAAGTGCACCCTTGTCATGCAATGCCCTCAGAGGACAGAAGAGGCTGTTGGATACCCTGGAACTGAAGTTACGGACAGTTGTCAGGTGCCATGTGGGTGCTGTGATTCGAACCCAGGTCTTTTGTAAGAACAACCAGTGCTCTTAACCACTGAGCCATCTCTCCAGCCCCTTCTTTTCATTTCTTTTATTCTCTTTTTTCTTTTCTTTTCTTTTGGAGAGAGGGTCTCATGTAGCCCAGGCTGGCCTCAAGCATACTAGTAGCTAAGGATAACACTAAACGCTTGCTCCTTCTGCCTCCATTTCCCAAACGCTAGGATTATAGGTATGCACCATCACATCTGGTTTGTGGTGCTGGGGATCAAACCCAGGGCTTTGTGCATGCTGGACAAGTGCTCTAATTGAGCTACAAACCTTAAACAAATTTCAAAAGAGAAAAATATAAGCTAGCCATGTTGGTAACTTGTCCAGTGTTTCGAAGCTAATCAGGGGCAGAACCAGACTGGGAAGGCATGGTTCTCAGGACTATGTTCTCTTTATTATTTTTATTTTATGTGTGTGAATGTAATGCCTGCATCTGCATGTAAGTAGTAGGTGCACCTGTGTCATGCAGTGCCCTTGGAGGTTAGAAGAGGGCATCGGATCCCCTAGAACTGGAGTTTCAGTTGCCAGCCACCACGTGGGTTCTGGGATCTGAACCGAAGTCCTTTGCAAGAACAACCACAGCTCTTAACCACAGAGCCATTTTTTCCAGCCCCCAGGTGTATGCTCTTGAGAGGAACCTGGGAACTGAACCACTAGCCTTGAAGGGTGTCCGTGGGTATGGGGGAATCAACAGAAAGGGAGTGACAAGCAGCAGGAGGTATCACTTTTACCACCTTCATCTGTGCCTCAAGGTGAAGGCCAGAGGGGTATGCTGGATTCTGAAAGCAGACCCTAGGCTGGTGAGTTTCCCCAGAACCCTTTGCCCACACAGCCTGGGGTGAGTACTGTATGTGATAGAGAAAGGTCTTGATGGGAACACCCCTCCCCCCAGCTGGAACATTTTTACCTGAGACTTTACATGAAAAGGCAAAAAGAATCATAGGGTAGAGAGCAAACTGCATCACAGACTATCAGGGGATTCCCACCCTGCTCTGTACCCATGTGGGATTAAGCTTTTTTCACGTTTCCCATTTCAGTCTGTGGTGGGTCTCTGCACCTGGTTTTTCCTTCAAGAAGAATGGATAGTTTCAGAGATGGCATATGTAAGACCATTACCTCAGAGGTGGGTCCAGAAACCAAAGGTGAGGCCCTTGTGTTAATCCCATAGAGGGAGAGGCTGAGAGGCTATGTGGCAGTCAGGCAGGATCCCTACCTCATCCCACAGACGCTCCACCAGGGTGACAAAGCCACCTGCCACACAAATAGTGAATAGGTTGAAACATACTTCATCTTCCTAAAAGGACAACTCAAAGGGCTCCCTCACCCAAAGCTGTGCAGATTAAGTACTTCAGAAATTATTGACCTTCTGTCCTGACATGACTCAGTTCTGGCTCCCACATGCTTAGTAAGGAAGAAACAGACCCAACTGCTGACCAGAGTGAGCTATCATCCTGGGGAGGTGAGGCCAGTTCTTTCCTAGCTCATTCCAATGGACCCTCCCTGCAATCTGACCTCTTCCTGCTATGGTTTATGTTGTGGTTTGAATGTGAAATGTCTCCATAGGTTCATGTTTGAACATTTGGTCCCTAGGTGGTGATGCTGTTTGGGTAGGTAGAAGCTCACTGGAGGGGTAAGCCTTGAGGGTTTATAGCCTGGTCTTCCATTTCCTGTTGACTGTTTGCTTCCTGACTGCAGACAGGCCTCCTGCTCCCACCTCCATGCCTTCCCTGCCAGATGGAATGGTCCCTTCAACTATAGCCCTCAAATTCCTTCTTGCCAGGTATGTTATCATAGAACAAGAAAAGTAACTAATGCAGTGAACCTCCGAGGCTGACCAAGGGAGACCAACTGCTTGGGGGCTTGGACGGGGTCAGGCTATAGGAGTCAGAACGCACTAACTGTGGACTTGACTTGACCTCAGTGATAATGGTACCCAAGAAGAGAGCTGCTTGTACTGTGGCCCCTCCCAACTCCTGGGGGAGGCACAGCATGCTGAGGCATTTATTTTCTGTTTCTTCTCCCTCCCTCCTTCCCTCCCTCCTGCCCTTCTTTTTTAGAGAGAGTTTCACTTTATAGTGCTGACTTGTCTGGAGCTCACTATGTAGACCAGGCTGGCTTTGAACTTGCAGTGATCCTCCTGCCTCTGCCTCCTGAGTGCTGGGATTATAAACATGCACCATTATATTCAGAGACTTGCCTTTTTTTCTTTTAAAATTTTATTATTAGTGTGTACGAGTGTGGTGACACCACACTTGTGTGGAGGTCAGAGGAAAACTTCATGGAATCGGTTTTCTCCTTCCACCTTTACATGGGTTCCAGATTTCAAACTCACATTACCAGGTTTGCCTGGCAAGTGTCTACCGGCTAAGCCATCCTGCTGGCTTCCTCCTCATTGCCACCAGAAGGTGTCCTGTCTTCTATGCAATGCCATCACTTTCCTCCAACACTGTCTGCAAAGCCGCTTTCCAATCTCTTAACCAAGGGAAGACCCCCGTCTTGAGCTGTTGGAGGAAGAGCCCATGTGTATCATATAAAGGATGTGAACCGTGGGAAATAATTTCCTTTAATCACAGAGAAAGCACACCAAATTGTAACAGAAGCCCTGGGGGAAGTTGCCAATGTGCAAAGCAATGCCTGGGGGCCCTGAGCACATTAGACATTTACAATGAAGTCAGCTAGGTTATGGGGTAGCATTCTCCAAAGACAAGTGACAGCGTACCACCCTGTGTGTCTGTGACTGGCTTCCTCTTCAGGCAGTTGTTTCTTTCCTCATTTGATGCTAGGGCTTGGGAGGCTGGTGGATGATCACATGGAAAAGAGGCCTCCGGGTCCTGCATCACAGAGGGGCTGATGCTGCAGATGGACACAGACTGGGTGCCTTGCAGGCCACACCCATGAAACTCAACATGACATAGGACCTCAGAACAAGTGTGAAGGAGTGGGACAATGGACAGATGGCAGCTGTTTCTTTAGACTCTAGGGTTCTACACAACTTCCTAAAGGCATGCTGAGAGATGGGCTTATCAGCAAAACTTTGCCATCCCGAAGGATAAAAGCTATTCTTCTAGTTTTTAGGTTTCAAACAAAAGGACAAGAGAAAAAGGAAAAAAAGCCGCAACTCAATAATTATTTGGAATATTGTGGCACTTTACCAATCTCTTTGCTTATATATATATATTATATAATATATGGCAGAGTAAACATAACCCTGTCGATATAAACTTTCATCATAGATAACTGTAGACTGTACACTCTCAGAATACAGAAAGTATCCAGGCTATCATACACATTTCATCTTTAAAAATAATCTAACAGTCATACTCTCTGGCTAGTAACAAACTATGAACATCTTCTGAGAATACAGAGGAAGCTCTGGGATTAATAGTAAATTCTCTGACGTGCTCCCCCACCCCCCCCATTCAGTATCATCAATGAACACATTTCTGCAAAAGCATCGCCAGGACCATTCAGAATCAGGAAAAGAAAGGAGTATGTTCCTTTCACCAAATGGGCTTTCAGCAAGAAGCGATGGAACGTATGTGTTTGTTTTTACCTTGGCAAAAGAAAACGAAGCACAAACGTGGCATTGTAGGTGTGGGCCCGTGCAAATGCATGTTTTGTTAAGAGGGGGTGTTTTAGGCTCACCCGCTCCCCAAACCACAATCAGCATGCAGGTTGTTGTCAACTATGGGATTAGAGATAATCACAGATAATTGGCAGTGCACCTCTTTTGTGTAACCGTGATCACTAAGGCAGGATTATGTGACCTTGTAGAGAATAACAGTAATTTGTCAGATGCAAGTTTACACAGAGTGGACCTGTGACTTACTGTCTAAAAAAGGAAAAGAACTTCAAAACAAAGATTCCCTAAATTCACAGTTCAGTTGAAAACAAACTGTTAAGCTTTTAGAAATATATTTGAAACTATGAGACTGCCCTGTGTTTGCTATATGAACATTTTTAAAAAGTTCCCACCCCTAAAAATTGGCCACTTGTTTTCCTTATCCCAGGTAGCAACCTCACCAATTAGCTACCATGGTTGATGCCTGCTTAAGTCCAGCCACCAAGGTCATTCATGTATAGTGTGATTATTTTCAAGGTCATACTTTTAAATTCTTCAACAGTCAACCAGGAAGGTGAGGGGCCTTTCAGCCTTGGTCCATGTATTGGACGGTGGTCCTGGCAGCAGGTATACAGCAGACGTCCAGGGATCCTGGGCACTTTCCACTGGAGGTGGCTTGGCTGCTGTGAGTTGGCCTGTAGGTTCTGCACCCAGCTGTGGTATAATTTGCAAATCCACACAAGGTTCTTCTCTCAGGAGCACATGGAAGCCGACTTTGCTGACTGGAGACCAGCTGAGGCGGTAGAGGCAGCTCCTCAGCCCAGCCACAAACAGACGCCAGGGGCAATTTGTGTGTGCAATTTGTGTGGAGCCAATGCAGGAGGGAACCAGGAAGTTCCCGGATGCATTCCCTCACAGGGTGTTTCATACCACGGAACCCTTGGAGGATGACAGGTGGATGGACTGAATCCTAATGGCCAACGTCCTCTGTAAGTCCTGAAGCACATCCTGGCCCGTCCCTTCACCATTTTTGTCATAGAGGAGCTGCTTGAATGCTTCGTTTTCAATGAGGACCATCATATTTTTGAGAAAGTAGCCTTCGCAATATGAGGAGAGCTCTGTGACCCCAAGGAACTGTTGGGAGGGAAGATAAAGCGAGTGGTTATACCGCTCTGCTGAGGATGGTGAACACCTGCTCAGCTGGGTTGGTCCTCATCCTCCATCCTTCGTACCCTGCTCCCCAGCAGCTTCGCTGCTCCCCCTCAAAGGGCTTTAGTTCTTTCTTCTATCCCTTGGCCCCGTGAGAGTCCAATCACTTCTCTGGGCCTCAGTTTCCCAGGCTACAGAATGGGTGGGGTAGACAAGGGGTACCACTTAGGACATGGCTATAATTGGGATTCTATGGTCTTCAAGACCTGTGAGGTTGAAGAAGTGATCAGAAAACTGGTAAAACTGTTGTCTTATCACACATGTCCACATCCAGGTACAGCTGGGAGAGATCCTAGCCACGTGCTCACTCCTCCAACACAAGCCCTGCTCTTGGGTGTTGGGGTACATGGCCTTGTTCTCTAGTTAGGAAACTGAGGCTCAGAGTCACCTAGCTTAGATTCTGTGGAGAGAACTCTCCCTCACCACACCTGGAGCTTGCTTTGTAGATAGTGTCAGCACAAGTTAGTGTAAGTGGAGAGTAATAACACAACATACTTACATTTATAGTATCTGGTAATATTAATTGAATGGTGACTCTATACCAGCATCTGTCTATCTTTTTCATACAACCCAAGTGAGACTGGTGCTGTCCTCTCCTAGACCAGAGATTTGTACTATAGGCTCCTGGGACAAATTTGGCCCACTATTTGTTTTTATAAATGAATTTTTATCAGAATATAGTCACACTATTTTCCTATTATGTATATTTTTTTCTTTAATGCAGATAGAATCGAGTAGGGACAAAAACAAAACAAAAAACCAAAACAACCCTCTATGGCCTTCAAAGCTGAAAATAATTAACTGGTCTTTTACAGAATATGGTTGCTGATCCTTATCCTTGATAATTTCTTTCACAAGTAGAGATAATATCTTAGTAATTTCTTTTCTGAGACAGGGTCTCATGCTGGCCTTGAACTTGCTATGTAGTTAAAGATGGCTTTGAACTCCTCATTCAACTGCCTCTGCCTCTAGAGTGTTGGAATTACAGGTGTGAGCCACCAGGCCTGGCATGTTTTTATAAATTTCTTATTATGTTTTGATGACTAGAGTCCTAGTAAAGAATGGGTGGTCAGTAAACACTAGGAAAGGAATCTTGCGGATCCCAAACCCCTCCTCTTTCTAGCATGGTTCCTGGCAAACCTTACTGAATTAGATGAGATTCAACTGGATGAATCAGCTTTGTTTTATTTCTTTTTTAAAAAATTATTTGTTGGGCTAGAGAGATGGCTCAGCAGTTAAGAACACTGGATGTTCTTGCAGAAGACCTGGGTTCAAATCCTAGCACCCATATGGCAGCTAACAACTGTCCACAACTCCAGTTCCAGGGGATCTGACACCCTCTTCTGTCTTCCGTGGGCATTGTACAACACGGGTGTACTTACATACATGCAGGTAATACATACATACACATAAAAATAATAAATAAAATAATTTAAAAAATTATTTATTTAATAACCCCATAATTAGAAGAAGCATTTCATTACAACAGCATTGACATATTCAATAACAATTTCCAGAGCTAAGATGCATCTCTTTCAAAATTGCCTGTAAATTTTTAGGTTTACAGTTGAATTAATACACTTATATAATATTGCACTCAGTATAAACCCTATAAGATATAAAACTGAATGAGGTTTTAACCTTTAAAAAGATCTCCATTTCATTATTAAAATATACTGTTGTTTCATATGGAAAAACTTATTTTTAATACAACTAACAGATGTTTGCACATGTGTCTCTAATCTCTATATGTCTGATTATTACTAGTCACACTATAGTCATAAACACAATATGGTATTGGCACAAAAATAGACGCATAGACCAATGGAAGAAAATTGAAGACCCAAATATGAGTAATTGCAATTTTAGCCACCTGATATTTGACAAAGGGGCCAAGAACATTCACTGGAAGAAAGACAGCATGTTCAGCAAATGGTGCTGGCAAAACTGGATCTCCACCTGTAGAAGAATGAAACTAAACCCCTATCTTTTACCTTCCACAAAAGTCAGCTCCAAATGGATCAAAGACCTCAATGTGAAGCCTGAAACTCTGAAACTGGTAGAAGAAAACATTGGCAATAACCTATAAGATATAGGTGTAGGATGGGCTGGCTCAGCGGTTAAGAACACTGGCTGTTGTTGCAGAAGACCCGGGTTCAAATCCTGACACCCACATGGCAGCTAACAAGTGTCTGTAACTCCAGTTCCAAAGGATCCAACAGCCTCTTCTGTCCTCCACAAGCATTGCACGACATGGGTGCACTTAACTACATGCAGGCAATACATGCATACACATATAATAAAAATAAATAAAATATTAAAAAAAAGATACAGGAGTAGGAAAGGATTTTCTAAATCGGACATCAATTGCTCAGGAAACAAGGTCAAGAATCAACAAATGGGACCTCATTAAACTAAAAAGTTTCTGTAGCTCAAAAGAAGCAACCAAGGAAGTGAAGAGAAAACTCACAGAATGGGAGAAAATCTTCACCAGTCTTTACCAGGGACACATCTGACAGAGGTTTAATATCCAGAATGTATAATGAACTCAAAAAAACAGAATCAAGACAAGAAGGAACCCAATTAAAGGACGGACTAAGGCGCTGAACAGAGTTCTCAAAAGAAAAAAAAAAGATGGCTAAGAAGCATCTTAAAAGGTGCTCAACATTATTAGCAATTAGGGAAATGCAAATTAAAACCACTTTAAGATTTCATCTTACCCCAGTCAGACTGCCTAAGATCAAGAGAACAAATGATACCAAATGTTGGAGAGGATGTGGGGAAAGGGGAACACTCATCCACTGCTGGTGGGATTACAAACTTGTTCAACCCTAGGCCAAAAAAACAAAAACAAAAACAAAAACAAAACAAAACAAAAAAGCCCCACAAAACTACAAATGAACCTACCATTTGACCCAGTTATACCACTCCTTGGCGTATACCCAAAGAACTCATCCTATTGCAGAGATACTTGTACATCCACGGTTCTTGCTGCTCTTTTCACAATAGCTAAGAGATGGAAGCAACCTAGGTGTCCCTCAATTGATGAGTGGATAATGAAAATGTGGTTCATTTATATGATGGAGTTTTACTCAGCAGTAAAAAAAGATGAAGTCATGAAATTTGCAGGTAAGTGGATGGAACTAGAAACTTATACTAAGTGAAGTAACACAGACTCAGAAAAACAATGTTCTCCGTCATACGTGGCTCCTAGCACCAAATCCTTATAAGTGAGTATGTATCCAGACATAACTATTGGAACCAGGATAATGAAAAGGAACAGGGAGGTAAAGGAAAGGAAAGAATCTGAAAGAGAAGAACAGTAGGAAACAGGTGTTAATAAGGGAGATATGGATAAAAATGGGGTTATTTTAAGGGGAAGGGGGAGGGTTATACAAGGAATCTTGGGGATAAAAGGAAGGAAGGAGCTCAAGAGAGGTGGAAACATAGGAGAAGGATATTATTAAGGAGAAATGGGAAAAATGGGGGCACTTTAAATGGGGAAACCACCGTGGAAGGGTTAGACAATGGAGAGATAAATAACGCCTAGCTAGTTTTTCAAAAAACAGAGGGAACCATATTAGTCCAACAACATACTGACAAATTATACATACAACTAGCTCAAGGAACATAATATATGTCTAGTCAATGTTTATCTGAGAAACTTTGGTCTTTGCCAAAGCTTTATGTACATAGCATATGGTAATTAAAAGTACCAGACTGGTGGAACTAACCTTTTTGGATGTTTAACAGCCATACTTTGAGACCTATACTAATGTGGTCAGAGGGACTTAAAGGACAGTTTTTGGTCCTTTCCCTGCAAGGTTGACCAAGTTCCAGGGGACTATGGAGCATCTCTCAAAATGTCCTGTAACTGCAGTGAGTCACCTGTCCTCTTGATCAAGGAGGCCATGGAGACCCCACCAGATGGACTTGAACAAGTGTCCAGTCTACAAAGAAGAGGGTCAACACAGAGGAAACATTTCCTCCATGCTTCCAAGTAAAGCCATCCATGGTCGAGCAGGACCTTTGACTTATCCATATAGATGGAACTGGTGGAGGAAAGGAGCCAGGGGCTCCTCCTAAGCCCATGTGACCCCTGAGGAACAGATCCTTAAACGACCTTAAGAGTGAAAATATATCGGTTTATCTGTGCCAACTGCATGGTCTTAAGTACCCCTAACGAAACTAAAACCAAAGATTAAAGGGATCAATACAATTCTTTAAGAGTCCATTTTTAAAAAAATTTTAAACACAGATACCCTGAAAGGAACACCATAGGCTCAAGACTGAGCTGTGTGGGACAGCTTGCTAGGAAAAAGAGATACTAAGCCCCACATTGATGGGCTGGGTTTCTCATCTGTGTAAAATACCAGGGTGGCCAAAGGGATTCTCAGATAGTAAGCCGGCATAGAGCTGGGAAAATGAACAGCAGATCTCAATCTTATCCAAAGGAATATTGACAACTGATTATTGCTAGATGAGGAACAGCTGACCCTTCTAAAACAAAGCCCTCTAGTTAGGCTGACTAGATTCACCAGAAGGGCAAGTAGTGGGGAATGGCTGGGGGTGCTGACAACACAGCAGACAGTAGCAGGGATATCAGAGTATAAGGGCTCTAGTTGGGGGAGGGAGGCTATGGGAGGGTA